TTCAAAGGTATTGTGAATCAACTAACGAAAGTCGGCGTGAAGATAGATGATGAGTTGCAAACTCTTCTACTCCTAAGTTCTCTACCCGAAAGTTGGGACACTCTAGTCGTCACTCTCAATAACTCTGCTCCAGATGGAAAACTTGTCATGGATTCTGTTACAGATTCCTTGCTAAGTGAAGAATCAAGAAGGATGGAAAGAGGCTTCAACAACCAGTTCGAAGCAAATATTGTTGATAATAGAGGAAGGAGTAAGAATCGTGAAAGAGGAGGTCGTGGGAGATCACAAGCTAGATCAAAGTCTCGCACTAAACTAAGTTGTTATTATTGTGGCAAGCCAGGCCATAGAAAGTTTGAGTGCAGATTCTTTAAGAGAGATCAGCAGGCTGGAATGATCCATCCTGATAAAATCGATCCAAAGAAGAAGGAAGATGGAACCACGACAGCAGTCGTAGCAACTAACAAGAATTTCTTTCTTATTGAAGAGGAAAACTATCTAAATGTAGCGTCTGATGATTACATTTGGATAATTGACTCAGGAGCATCCTTTCATGTAACCCCTCATGAAGAATTCTTTTCATCATATCAAAAAGGAGATTTTGGTATGGTGAAGATGGGCAATCAAGTCACAAGCAAGATTGTTGGCATTGGTGAGGGGACTATGGTTACAGAGAATGGTTATAAGCTCGTGTTGAAGGAGGTTAGACATGTTCCAGACATGCGTCTAAACCTTATCTCGACAGGAAAGTTAGATGATGTTGGGATGATAAACCAATTTGGAGCTGGTAGATGGAAGCTTAGTAAGAGAAGCGTGATCATTGCTCGTAGTAAAAAGGAAGGCTCTCTGTATATGATGCAGGGAAAGATAAACAAGGGAGATATCAATGTATCTCAAGACATGAGCAAAGAATTGTGGCACAAACGACTTGGCCACATGAGCGAGAAAGGTTTGGAGATTTTTTCTAAGAATCATCTTCCAAACATCAAGGGTCAACCACTTGAATCCTGTGAAGATTGTCTAGCAGGCAAACAACATAGAGTATCCTTTCAAAGATCAGATGATGCAAGAAGAAGAAAGCATATCCTAGATCTTGTTCATTCAGATGTTTGCTCTACATCTGAAAGGTCCTTTGGTGGTTCACAATACTTTGTTACCTTCATTGACGACCACTCTAGAAAAGTGTGGGTGTATCCATTGAAGACGAAAGATAAAGTTCTTCAAGTTTTCAAAGAATTCCATGCCTCTGTAGAACGGGCATCCAGAAGAAAACTGAAATGTTTAAGGACAGATAATGGTGGAGAGTATATAGGCCCATTTGCAGCCTACTGTAGATCTCATGGAATAAGACATGAGAAAGTACCTCCTAAGACTCCTCAAATGAATGGAGTAGATGAAAGGATGAATAGAACGATTGCAGAGAAAGTCAGAAGTATGCTTTCTCATGCAAAACTTCCCAAATCATTTTGGGGTGAAGCAGTGAGAACTGCAGTTGATTTGATTAATTTGTCTCCTTCAAAACCATTAAATGGAGAGATACCAGATGAAGTATGGTATGGAAAGAAAGCCTTCTATGGTCATTTAAGAGTCTTTAGATTCAGGGCATTTGTTCATGTTCCAAAAGATGAAAGAGCAAAGCTAGATGCTAAGACGAAGGAGTGCATATACCTTGGTTCACCAAGAGACGAACTTGGCTTTAGATTATGGGATCATGCTACTAAGAAGCTTGTTCGAAGCAGAGATGTGGTATTCTATGAAGATCAAACAATCCACAACATTCAATCTAAGAAGCCAAAGACCATTGTGGTACACAACTCAGGGGGAGATATTCCTCAAATGAATTATGATCGTGATCAGCCAACACAACCCGATCAGATGAATCATCCTGATCAAATAGAACAAGATCAAGCAATGCATGAAGAGCATATGGTAGATGATGATGTTGATGAGATGAATCAAGAACCTCAATTGAGAAGATCAACAAGATCCAGACAACCATCAAAAAGGTACTTCTCAGGTGAATATGTGAATTTCACTGATGAAGGAGAACCTCAAAGCTTCATGGAAGCCATTGAGACTGATGACAAGGAGAAATGGATGCAAGTCATGCAAGAAGAATTACAGTCGCTGAAGGAAAACCAGACATATGACTTGGTAAAATTACCAAAGGGAAGAAGGGCGTTGAAAAACAAGTGGGTGTTCAAACTCAAGTCTGAAGAGAACAACCCAAATCCCATATACAAAGCACGAATTGTCGTGAAGGGGTGCCATCAGAAGAAAGGCATAGACTTTGAAGAGATATTCTCACCTGTGGTAAAAATGACATCCATTAGAGCAATCCTTGGTCTAGCTGCAAAACTAGACTTAGAGATAGAACAACTTGATGTTAAAACAGCATTCTTGCACGGAGACCTAGAGGAAGAAATCTACATGGAGCAACCTGAAGGTTTTATTGAACCAGGCAAAGAACACCTTGTGTGTCACTTGAACAAAATTCTATATGGCTTAAAGCAGGCTCCAAGACAATGGTACAAGAAGTTTGATCTCTTCATGACCCAACACAACTTCACAAAGACGTCAGCAGACCATTGCGTGTTTGTGAAGAACTATGAAAATGGAGAATCCATCATACTTTTGTTGTATGTTGATGATATGCTTATTGTTGGAAAAGATAAGGCAAAGATAAATGCTCTCAAGAAAGCATTGAGCAAATCTTTTGCTATGAAGGATCTGGGTGCAGGGAAGAAGATTCTTGGAATGAAGATCGTTAGAGATCGTTCTAAAAGAACGTTGTGGATGTCACAAGAAGACTATATCAAGAAAGTTCTTAAAAGGTTCAACATGCATAATGCAAAACATGTGCATGTTCCGCTACTTGGACATTTGAAACTTAGTAAGACACAATGTCCAGAGAATGACCAAGAAAAAGAAGAAATGAGCAAGGTGCCCTATTCTTCAGTTGTGGGTAGCCTTATGTATGCAATGGTTTGCACAAGACCAGACATTGCTTATGCGGTAGGAGTTGTGAGTAGACTCCTATCAAACCCAGGAAAGGAACATTGGAGTGTTGTGAAATGGATATTGAGGTATCTGAAAGGAACTGCCAAAAAGTGCTTATGTTTTGGCAATGAAAATCAAATGCTCACTGGATATGTGGATGCTGATATGGCCGAAGATGTAGATTCAAGAAAATCTACATCCGGATATTTGATTACTTTTGCAGGGGGAGCTGTCTAATGGCAATCGCGACTACAAAAGTGCGTTGATTTAAGTACCACAGAAGCAGAGTACATCGCAATCACTGAAGGTTGTAAGGAGATGTTGTGGATGAAGAAGTTCCTGCAAGAGTTAGGCCAGAATCAAGAAAGTTATGCTCTCTATTGTGATAATCAAAATGCAATTCACCTCAGCAAGAATTCGACATATCATTCAAGGTCAAAACACATTGATGTGAGGTATCATTGGATACGTGATGTGTTAGAGAATAAACTGCTACAAATAGAGAAAATTCACACCAATGACAATGGGGCAGACATGATGACAAATAGAGTTTTGCAAACAAGCTACTAGATTGGATGCAACCCCAAACTAATCAAGGCATTCCCCTATGGCTGGAGGGGGAGAAATGTGGGGTCCAGCCATTGCCACATGGCCATCATACATTTGACAAAATGGAAGGTTGCATGTGATGACAAAATAGCAAGGTGTATGATGTACACATGATGTAGTGTATGAGTAACACATGTTGTGGTGCATGCATTAACACATGGTGTGGTGCATGTATTACAAGGGACACTTGGTGTTTTGCATGAAAGGCAAACGACAAGTGTCTTCATGCATGTAAGGCAACTTTGGCTTGCCTCTCCTATAAATAGGATCATAAGCAAGCATTCACAACACACCACTAGAGAAGAACAAGTAGTAAGAGAGAAAGAGAGCATTGCTCAAGAGAGAAAATCTTCATAGAGAGTTTCTTGTGAGAGAAATAATGAGCCAATTTGTAAGAGTGTTTCTTACAAATTGAGAGATACATTGTAGTGAGATCCACCTAAGGGTGAAGTTGTTGTATTCCCATTATCAATATAGTGGAAGTTTTAAGAGGCCCAAGGGTCCGTGGTTTTTTTTTTCCTTTCTCACATTGAGAAGGTTTTTACACGCTAAAATTCTCTGTGTCATTACGCGTTTATTTCACATTTCTGCTAAGTGCCTATTTTGAGTTCACGAGAAGGGAAATTATGCAGGCATTTCCCAACACTTTTAATTTATTAATCTATATAATATTAGTTGAATTTTTTATTTATAAATGTTCAAATGAAATAAGCTTTTAAATAGACTAATAGATCAATTAAATCTTCGAAATGATCAAGCTCAAACCTAAAAATAAATATAAGACTTTGAATATTTTGCTGACCAAACTCAAACTTGACAAAACCTAACACAATCTAGCGTATTTCCACCTAACACAATCTAGCGTATTTCCACCGCTGCCCCTACTCTTGATTAAAGTTTGTTTTTAAATACTATGGGAACAAGTAGTGTCTATTAATGGTGCAACTTATACACTAGAAAAGGGCACAAATATGTGTATATGTATTATCATCATTTTATCTAAGAAATATTTTCATGTTAAATCATATTTAACGGGTTAATCAACCTAAAATCCTATTGAAGGGGTCAATTAACCTAAAATTTAATGATACAAGCACTTTAGAATTTCATGTAATTCTAGCTATTTTCATCATCACATTTTTCTTTGTTCAAGTTTTTGCAACATCTATTCGACACAAATGAATCCTCATGGATTAACGATATAATAACTAACATATAATATACTAAAAGTGATATTGTGCCTAGCAAACATAACATATTTATAAGTTGAAATTAATATATCAGTCAGCATGTGAATATCAGAAGTTAAAATGTGCTTGCTTCATCAGTACTACATTCTCACTATCATAACAGCAAAATATTGGAGATATGGATCAGTCACATAGAAGGCCTACTCATGGAGCTTTAGCAGTTTCGCGAGCTACAGAAAACTTGGCCAGTAGACCACACATCTGAAGATAAGAACCAACTCCATCACAAATCCTCATATGAGCAAATCCAGTTTCCTGCAATTTGAAGAACACATTCTAAGGTTGAGTTTAACATGACCAAAATTAAACACGACGGAATCCGTTGCCAGTATTCATTTACCTTCATGAATTCTAATTTCAAGTACTCAGCCATATCATAACTTTTTATGATACGAAAAAGTGTGGTTATGATATCTGTGGGGGAATATCCCAGGTCATACAATTGCTTGAGCCCTGAACAAGCCTCATCAAAATTCCCTTCAATTACATTGCGCACCATATTCTTCACATGCAGTGGATGTGGCTGGTCACAAACCTAAAACCAAACAACAATGTTAATAAAACCAATTGCTATCTGTGATAAATGTAATTTGCAAATAATAACCGGTTCAAACCTTAAAAACATTTGCTTGGTTAACAAACTGGAACCCACTGTATGTTGCTTGCAAGTTGTTCAATCCCTGCCTCATATCACCATCAGCAGTGAAAATGATGGCCTCGAGTCCTTCAGGGACATAGGGAACCTTCAACCATAAAACAATTCAATCATGCATCTTCTCAATTCTATTAAAGCCAAACAGATAGCAACTAATGCAGTTCTTTCCATAACCATAAAAAATATTCCCGACCAGTTCACATTGATAATGGCAAGAACATTCAGCAAATATGTTTTATGATAAAGGAAGCCAATATGGTGGGAGCATCATATTAGGTTTCACTTTAAACGGGAAAAAAAATATGAAAAACAAAGAATGCATCCAAAGTCTAAGATAATAAGGGGAACCTGGATTATAGAAACAGTAAAAGGAAATATATATATATATATATATATATATATATATATATATATATATATATATATATATATATAATAATGAAAAATAACATGTATTATTTCTGGATATCAAAGGAAAATATAACAGAATCCCACTGCACACTGATGACCTTTCTCTCACTCTCCGCACCCGTATAACAGAATCCCACTATACGCTGTTGACCTTTCTCACTCTGCCACGTGGGCTATCCCACTCTCCCCTTTCCTATTCATTCTAGCATAAACCCACTGCATATTGGGCTTAGGGGTTTTGTTGTTGTGCTAACAGCCTATTTGGCCCACATTTCTCATTTAGGATCCTAATATTGCCCCCCTCTTCAGAAACAGACTTGCCCTCAAGCCTGGTCATGGTGCATTGGCTCCCAAAATTGACTTTTTCCGCTCAAATAGCTTTTTCCAATTCCTTTCCTTTCCATTTTATCAAGAGTTGACCAACATATTTTGTCCAATCATAAATTTGACAAACAGAAGAACAAGATTTTGTTCTCTTTGTTCTGTAGTGGGGGGAAGCTTCCACAAAAGGATTGACTTCCAGCAGCAATTCATAGAGTATGGAGTAAATATTGAGCTTTGGAATTTTAATTATGTTAGAAACAAATCCTAGACAAATGGAGTTCACAACCTGCCACTGAGCTCTTGATTTCTCTGTACTGCTGCAAAATTTTATTTTACACAAATAGTGTTTCCTTCCCTTAAGAGTCATCACATATCATTGGCTAACTCAAAGTGAAACAGCTTCATGAAGCCTAGACGCAACACCAGGAAAAGTGCCTTGGAAGTTAAATCATTTTAGCAGCTTTGCAATTCAGTTGGTCTGCAAGGCTATTGGGGCTGTCATACAATGCCTTTTTGGTCTGCTTTATTGGCTGAGAATTTGCAGAAAACTCAGGACAGCATATTGAACTTTTTGAACTAGTCAAATACTACTAAACATTTTGAACTTTTGTATTTACTTTAAAAAGGCAATTCTGAAATGTCTCTTTACAGTAAACTGTAATAGATAACCAGATAAATCTTTACAAGTAAACAAACCTTTAAAGTATAGTACAGGAGGTTAGACATCCTAAATCCCTCGTAAGCCATAAAATCGTCAGAATTCAGGCCGTGGGAAAACTTTAGATATAAAGTATTATCTTCAATTCAATAATTTTCAGAACAAAATATTGTATATCCTCCTAAAATACGGAATAGGTCAAAGTCCAACTAATGGCATTTCTAAAGTCCTCCATCCATTATATTGCTTATTATAAAAAGTATTTTTTGCAATTCCAAGAAAGTAACAGTACTGCAAAAGTTGTTACACTTCTTGAACACACTTCTATTAAGTATCCACATAGTGCAGTATAGTTCTAAACAGAACACCCCAATGAGGAAAGAATATAAACAATAGATTAAGCAGAAGATCAAACAAGATGGGTAAAAGTTAAATATACAAACAATAAGGAGACGATATAACATTAGCGATTAATATCAACAAAAAAAAAATAGATGAGATGAAAGGCGGGTGCTTTTATTCTTCACTGAAGCACTATACCAGTGTAATATAATATGTACCTAAAACTATAGACAGAATGGAAAACTAACTAATTGCTATATGCTTGACAAAAGTAATTCTAACCAACTATTTAAAAGTTTCAAACAGCATATAACATGCAGAAATTCTATGATTGCTAAATTATGCAGAACTGCCTTTACTTTCTCTATATCACTGGATATACTGTTTGATGGACATATCTACATATCACCAAAAGGCAGTATTAATTTTTTACTCACCGGAATAAAAATTACAAATGCTTTTTTTACAATTAAGAGAAACCCCTTAAGACAACAAAGTATGAATAGTAAAAGACCAAGATGATATAAATTAGTCATTAAATATTCATCTTGAGTCTTGTGGGCCATGCAATTAACTAACATTCTCAAACTAGACAGATTATAAAACACTAAAGATGTTAGACATAGCACATTCCCAACAAAGACGGATGATATAACAATTAAGATGTTAAGCTGCATATATTCCTCAAATCAAACAAGAATACTCGGTAATTCAACACAGATAGAAAGTCGAGGTACCTTCTCAGCTTGAACCACAACCATGAGACGACCAAGTATCTCTTGATCAGATAGTCGCGAAAATCGCACAATTGCGCACCTACTCTGAATCGGCTCAATAATCTTCGACGATGTATTACAAGCAAGCGCAAAACGAGTAGAATTAGAATATATTTCCATTGTCCTTCTTAAAGCTTGTTGTGCTCCAGAGGTCATACTGATTCGAGTCCAAAAAAGAAATGTTAGAACAAAAGTAAAATCCATTGAAAACAAGAATGAACAAAGTAACAACATTAATTGAATTAAATCACCACCAAAATATAAAACAGACCTGTCAGCTTCATCGAGTATAACAACTTTGTGTCGGCCTGGAGGAAGTGTTACTTTCTTTTGAGCAAACATCTTGATCTTGTTCCTCACAACATCTATTCCTCTACAGCAACAAAAAAAATGTGAAAATCTTGGTTAAACGCTGTAACATTATTTCATACACAATTAGGGGGAAATCAATTAGTAAATTAAAGGAACCTATCATCTGATGCATTTAGTTCAAGAACAGCTTCTCTGTAATTGGGACCGAGAAGCTCGTGCGCAAGGGCGAGAATACTAGTGGTTTTTCCAGTTCCAGGAGGACCCTAAAAAATGACAATAACAAAATTGGGAATTAGGGCACAGTGAAAAACTAAAGAGATAGAGAACGAATGAGTGAGTGTGATGAATCGAAGAGTGGGGATTAGTGGTTTACTGATAAAATGAGGTTGGGCATGTTGCCGTCACGAGCGATGACTTGGAGCCGGGAGACGGCGTCTTCATTGCCGACGATGTCGACGACCTTGCTGGGTCGGTACTTCTCAACCCACGGCACGTCGTAGTTTGCGCTGTTGCTTGAGGATGATGATGCCATGCTTGTGAACCTGAATGTGAACAGGGAAACCCCAGAGAAACCCTATATCATTGAGAGGCTTCAAAATTGGAGGGAATTTCCAACTTCTAAGGTGGGAAAGTTTTTAGGGTACTCTTCCAATTTGTTATTTTTTTAAAATAAAAAAGAGAATGAATTCGGTTCCATTAAAAATTAAAATTAAAATTATATATATATATATATATATATATATATATATATATATATATATATATACTCATGCATCTATATACTTTATTTTGATATAACTTATTTTTTTATAATTTTTATCCTTATTTTATTGTATAATTTATTTAATAACTTTTTATTATTATTTTTAACTTTTATATAACTTTTTATTATTTACTTTTACATATTATATTTTAAAAAAAATTATTTTAACAGAAAATATTCTAGCGCATTAAAAAAACGGCGTACCCGTCTAAATGCTAGTATTAATAACGAGACTTCATATCTCTCTTTTTATTTTTTTCTTTCTTCTCTGACTATCTCTTAATCTCACTCTCTCTAAAGTAAAAGTAATTTTATAATAATAAAAACGTGAAGTCAAGAGAGAAAGGTACATAAGGAAGGAGATGAATGAAAAGAAAAATTGAAGGAAAAAATCTAAGTATTAGTTCTAATTTAAAATTTTTAATTTAGAATAAATTTGTATCATCTTATTTAATTAATCTTAAATAAACAGTATGAATCTCTTATTTAAAATAAGTGATAATTTAATAAAAAAAATTACTTTTAATATAGAATTAATTTTGTTTTTTTTAACACTTAAATAATATGTATTTAAAATCATACTACTTAAAAAGTTATAAAATAATAATGAGTACAACAATAATGTCTAAATGACATCTTAATATATTTATAGTACGGTACTGAAGTATAACATAGTGCATAAATAAACCTCAAATTTTAATACAAAACTACAAATTAGATGCATATTAAAAAAGACAAAATATATTACATGGTCTTCGAGGCATCTTTCCTTTACAGTTTTCTTTTCTCGTATTGCCTTAAATATTCAACAAAAGTGGGGCGAGAAGTGAGAAGTTACATCTCAGTGGAGTTCTTGATAAACCATATGCTCACTCGGCTTAAAGGGTTATATAGAACTACTACAACACTACAGTCTTATCTCTTATGAGATAAAATCAACTCAGGAATTTGAGGTCTCGTAACCTCTTATTATGCGAGAATGTTGACACAATTACGTTTACGGCCAATGCTCACTAACGAGAGATAATAGCTTATTGGAAGAATATCTACCGACTAATGCTTATTATGTCAAGCTTAACTTAGGTGCTAGATGAGATCCAACCGATCACGATTTCGCTTACGGGCTCACATTTACGGGCTAGGCATAATATTAACCATTATATACACGCATAACACAAAATTGTCTCCTTTGAGACTCGTCTCATCGCATTATGTTTTATTTCGGAGAGTGGTCATCATATTACACCCTATTTAGGAGTGCAATCGCCACATTACGCCTCACTTAGGAGTGTGATCATCGTATTACGCCCCACTTAGAAATGTGATTAGACACATGCATATGGATGAATATATGTATACATGTTCAATGTACAACTAGGTAATTCTAGTAGAGTATTAGGGTGTTCACTTGGTTATACTCATTTCTATTTTTATTTATTACTCAAACCACATGCATTTGTTATCCCTTATTTACTTGTACTACTTAGTACTCATATGTGAGCGACATGTTGTTATGATTTGATTCATTGGAAATACGCGCTCTGACCATTGTGATTCCATTAGTATCGAACAAGACATTAAAAAATACATAGGCGTCATACCTCGAAAAAAATTGTTCAAACAGAGTCGCCACCAAACTTTATTTATCTCAATGAAAGAAAAGGAAAATATCGATACAACCTTTAAAAACAGAATAATGGTCGTTGCAACCATATTTGGGTTCGGGATTCGATTATGCAAAGGGAAGGTATTAGCACCCTTCACGTTTGTTGTACTCAACGAGAACCTCTTAGTCAAATTTATGATTCAGTGTTAGCTTATGTTATTTACTTTTTTCAAGTGATAAAGAGATTAAATAGAAAAGAAAAGAAATCGCTAAAGGGGAAAAGGGAAGTTTTTATCAAGGTGTTCGCCAAAGATTTGGACCCTTATGCCTACATATATTCATTATGAAACGAAGAATCGAAGCATTCGTGGTTTGGATGACTACATGGGAAAAAATGTAGAAAAGAAAGAGGTAGTTGAAAGGTAGAAAGGTTGGAAAAAAAAAGGTTGCTCGTCAGGATCTCGCAATCTTGTGTCTACGCACCCTTATGATGCAGTGAGGAAGTCACAGCTCCATAGTTTAGGGGACTACGGTTGGTTGGTTTGTGTATTTTAATGAACGGGTATTTAGATCACGTTCTAAGGACTACAACACTTAAATAAATTTATTGATCCAATATTGAGCTCGTTGCACTTTTGGCGGGGAATAAAAATTGCAGGCAAAATAATTGTTTGAAGCCATATATTAAATTTTATTTTCATTTTCAATAATTATATATATAAATCATTAATGTGTAAATTAATGGGTTTATAGCTTGAGTATCCAAAGTTGATAAGCAGAACTCAACCTCAACTTAGTATCCAAAGTTGTCTACAAACTTTCCCAGAACCTCGATGTAAATCTCGGATCTCTATCAGACACAATACTTGAATGAATACCATGCAGTTTCACAATCTGATCAATTCGGCAAGCATTTGCAACGAATAATTGATCCTCATCGGTATAAAATGAGCCGACTTGGTTAATCTATCAACAATCACCCAAATCGAATCATATCCCTTCAAAGTCTTCGGTAAACCGGTCACAAAATCCATAAAAATGCTATCCCATTTCCATTTTGGAATATCCAACGGCTGCATCAGACCCGACGGTCTCTGATGTTTAGTCTTTGACTTCTGACAAGTCAAACAAGCATACACAAACTTTGCAATTTCCTTCTTCATACCCGGCCACCAAAACAAATTCTTCAAATCTTGATACATCTTTGTGGCACCAGGATGAATACTTAACCCTCTTCTGTGACCTTCCTCAAGAATGCTATTATTGATTTCTGGCACATCGAGGACATACACTCTATCTCCGAACCTCATCACACCATTCTAATCGATACGAAAATCACCCACGTCGCCTTGATTGATTAATATGAGACGATCCACCAGTCTCAAATCAGATTTTTGACTTTCTCTAATTTGTTAGAGAATACCACTAGTCAACTTTAACATGCCAAACTTCACATTGTTAGGAGTCTCTTCACAAACCAAACTCATATCTCTGAATTACTTATTCAATCATAACTCTCGAACCATAAGCATCCACATATGTAAGGACTTCATGCTTAACGCATCAGCCATAACATTAGCCTTACTAGAATGGTAACTCAATTTAAAATCATAATCCTTCAGAAGTTCAAGCCATCTTCTCTGCCTCATGTTCAACTCTTTCTGATCAAACAAATACTTCAGGCTCTTGTGATCAACTAACACTTCGAACATATATCCAAAAAGATAATGTCTCCAAACTTTCAACACAAACACCATGACGGCCAACTCTAAGTCATGCATAGGATAATTCCTTTCATGAACCTTCAATTGTCTGGAAGCATAAGCCACGACCTGACCATTCTGCATCAATACGCCTCCAAGACCCATCTTCGATGCATCACAAACAAAAGACTCACTCGGATTTGGCAAAATCAACACTGGAGCGGTCGTCAACTTCTTCTTGAGTTCTACAAAACTCTTATCACAAGCAACATTCCACACATAAGCTTGACCTTTTTGAGTTGACTGAGTCAATGGCAGTGCCAACTTTGAAAAGCCTTCTATAAATATGCGATAATAACCAGCCAATCTAAGGAAACTTCAAATCTCAGTAGCAGACTTTGGAGTCTCCCACTGCAATACAACATCAACTTTCGATGGATCAATAACAATTCCTCCACTAGAAATCACATGGCCAAGGAAACTCACTTCCTTCAACCAAAACTCACACTTAGACAACTTGGCATAAAGCTTCTTGTCCCTCAAAACCTGCAATACCACTCTTAGATGTTGTGCATGCTCTTCCTCAGACTTAGAATATATCAAGATATCGCCAATGAACACTACCACAAACTGATCCAAATAAGGATGAAAAATCTTATTCATATACTCCATGAATACACCAGGTGCATTAGATACACCAAACGGCATCACAGTATATTCATAGTGTCCATACCTCGTCCTGAAAGTTGTCTTCGGAATATCATCAGGCTTAACGCGAATCTGATGATAACCAGACCTCAAATCAATCTTGTTAAACACGCAAACACCCACCAATTGATCCATCAAATCATCAATCCTCGGAAACGGATACTTATTCTTGATTGTTACTTTATTCAACTGCCAATAATCCACACACAATCTCATGCTACCATCTTTCTTCTTCACCAACAGCACAGGAGTACCCCACGGAGAAACACTCGGTCGAATAAACTTCTTCTCAAGCAACTCTTCCAACTGTTTCTTCAATTCCTCTAACTCAGATGAAGACATTCGATAAGGAGCCATCGACACATGACTAGTGTTCAATATCACATCAACAGTAAATTCTACCTCACGCTCGAGAGGTAAGTCACTCATGTTGTCTGGAAACACTTCTGGAAATTCCCGAACAACTGGTAGTTCCATGCTCACTGCTTCATAATCAACTTGAAGTGATGCAAACAATGCAAACATTTGAGCCTCATCTTCCAAGAGTTCTTATACTTGCTTGGCAGATAAACACATCAGCTCGCCACCATCACCAAACTCTTGGAACCTCACAGTCTTGCTGTAGTAATCGATATGAACATAATTGTACTCCAACCAGTTCATTCTAAGAATAACATCAATTTGATGCAAAGGTAGACAGACTAAGTCTATCACAAAATTCTTATCATAAATGGTCAAAGGGCAGCTCAAAC